AGGAAGGAAGGAAGGAAGGAAGGAAGGAAGGAAGGAAGGAAGGAAGGAAGGAAGGACAAGAAAACAAAGCTGAATAACAAGCAATCAAACTGTGTTGGCCTATGGTAAAAAAAACACAGATGGATAATATCATTGATTGTATCCATTAAAATTATAGTTAGTCCTAATAAAGGCTTTATCCAATTATTAATTTCAGCTGAACCCATCATATTGATAATTTTCTGGCTATAATACATTGAGCCACAAACTGCTACCTACATTTTGGCCCAACAGAGTTGTTTAAACTCATGTGGTTAGTTAATGATTGAGAGAGTCATAAGGAAAAGCCAGCAAATAGGTTTAAGGCCTTTGAGCCAACCATGGTTAAGCCAGCCATGGCAACAGGTGTCACAGGAGTACAACCCTGTGGCCTGCCACAAGTTTCATAGATTCAAATTGATGCATTTTCTTTGCAGAGTTGCTGAATGGTAGAATTTAATACCATATCACAGTCCTTTTGAAAAAAATCAGGTCTATTTTGGTTGCCCACCAAAATGCAGGTGGAAGCATGGAAAACTGAGTTCTGCAAGTCTGTTGTGCAAAAAGCTATATGACTGATTCCTTACGAATCAAAAGGCAGAAGATAAATCAAATAAATTAATAAATCAACTCTGCGTCCCCAGCATGATTATTATTCATTTTATCTTCCCAATGTCAACTGGTCCAACTTCTGTTCCTGGAGGGAAAATTTTGTTAGGCCCAATTAGATTAAATTATCAAGCTTGATGCTACGTGTACGTGTGTGTGTGTGTGTGTGTCTGTCTTTGGCTTAAGGAAATTCCCACTTGTTCAGAATGGGAATTTTGTCCAAATGCAAATTGCAGGATGGGACGGGACTGTCTGTTTCCTGACTGGCCGAGGAAGGAGAAAATTTGGAGGGGGTGGGGTGGCCTCGTTTCTTGATGAACTGGGGCTTGCTTTCCCTCAAGCGAGCTGAAAAACAAGCCCCGGATTTTAAATTATTTTAATGGTTACATTATTTCTGTACCCTACCAAAGATCGGCGATGAATGTAAACAAAGCTTTCCCCATCTTGGACCACAAACAGGCATTTTATTAAAAGCAGATATCAACCTTGCTCCTTGTTCTCAGGAGGAGATCTGCATCCTTCCCAACCCTTTTGCACGGTTGATTCTGCAAAATCAGTGTAAGCCGTAAAGTAATTTCTGGCACAGTTATTTACAGATCTGCAGCTGTTGACAGTATTTGGAAATATTTAAACGCAAGAAGAAATCAGGCTGGAACATTGGTTTCCAAGTCAGTGTTCCTGCTAGGAGATTTTCTGAACTGTAACCAATTATTCATATTCAAGGAGCAATCCTGTACTAATTTATGGGGGAGTCTGTCCCACCAAATTTAGTGGGGCTTCCTTCTAAGTAAACATGTACAAGACTGACCTGCTAATTAGTCGCCGTATGCTTTACACGTTCAGAAAATCAACTCCTTTCTTATTTTAACTAAACAGCACCCTCAAGTACTGTCTACCCGCCAAAAGAACTAAAAACTTGACAAATTAAAATATTTTAAATAATACTTTAAGGTATCACTTTGTAGCTTGCATTATATGACTGAGTACACACACAAGTACCTAGAGAGAGAGTGAGATAGAAGCAGAAC